GAGAGAGAGAGAGAGAGACAGAGAGAGAGAGAGAGACAGAGACAGAGACAGAGACAGAGAGACAGAGACAGAGACAGACAGACAGACACACAGACAGACAGACAGAGAGACAGAGAGACACGAGGGAGAGAGAGACAGAGAGACACTTCCGAATGGTTAGGTTTTCGTTCCACTTGTCTGCTCTCTGTTTACACAGGGGGGATTACGTTACGCTGTAATAAGCCTAGCCTACGTTAGAGACGAACAGGCGACCCCCGACTTGCTCGATACTCCTGTACTTAACAATATTATAGTCTAACCAATTGAGAATAGGGCTGAGCGATTCTTTTTAGTTTAGTTTTAGTAGAGGTTTTACGACGCTCGCAATCTGCATAAGGTCATATGAGCGCCAAGGGGTGGATGTCAACTGAGAAATCCTTACAGGGAATCAGGCTTACTCTGATCACCTCTCTAGCTTCAACAGCACAGAGTTTGCTTCAACTATCAAGGCACCCCGGAAATAGCGGGTCACAAGAGAGTGATAAACATACCTAAGAAGTAGAGGGAAAATGACGATAGTCAGGATTAGGAAGGAAAAAGCATCAGTTCCCTGTTGTAGTTCAGGCACAGTTGTGAGCATGACATTAATGAATCAGCCCATTAACAATTTACATACCTACTGTGCATAGGAACATATTAATGTCCCCTCCTTTTGGGAATACCCTAAGGACACTTCAGTCAGTAGCGCCACCCCAGGGGGGGGGGGGGGGTGCGAGAGATTCTGTCTCTGGATATTGCTATCATACCCAGGTCCATATACATTCATTTCAATTCTCGATTTTTGGACTAGTCAAATATAAGTCACAATTTAGATTTCTGTTTGGCTCTTGATAGTGATAATAATAATAACGACAATGATACGAGCAATAATAATTATCATAATGATGATAGTAAGAAGAAGAGCAGCAGCAGCAGTGACCAGTCATTACTGGCAAAAATCAGGACCGGTCACTTCTCTGGGCTGCGGCCTACAAAAATAGAATAGACAGAACATCAGACCCAACCTGTCCATTGTGCAGCGAGGAACCCCAAGATTTGGAGCACTGCGAATCTCCTAACTGCTACACCACAAACATGAAAAGAAGAAGAAGAAGAAGAAGAAGAAGAAGAAGAAGAAGAAGAAGAAGAAGAAGAAGA